GCTTCAAGTTCGAGTACCCCTGGGAGCTCTCCTTCGTAGGCATCTCACAGGAACACCCGGACCGGCAGTTCTTTCAGGATCTCCGCCCAGTGGACCAGCTGATGGAGGCAATGTCCGCCGACCAGGCCATGGAGACTGCAGTTGCCCCCGGCGAGACCCTCGCAACCTTTGCCTCGCAGGGCACCAAGAGGCAGCACTCTTCCGGCACGGAGGGCACCCTCGACAGCATGGAGGCCGACTCCACCAAGGAGCCCCACTACCCCTTCAACTCACAGGAGGAGCTTGAACAGGAGGTGGAGAACGAGAAGATCAGCCACATCAACCGCGGCTACGACATCTCCGGCTACTCCTCTTCGCAGTGGGAGGAGTGGGTCAAGGGCAAGAAGCTCAGGCAGATGGGTTCGGAGGCTGCCCAGGCAGTCCTCACAGGCCGCCCTCGTCCCAGGCTTTCGGCTTGAAGTTTCGGCAGGCGCGCAGGAGCCCCATCTTCCAGCACAGTGTGCTTTTTCAGTGCCTCTCTCACAGAGAGCAACGCTGCGACCGCACAGGTGGAAGAAAGGGGGCGAATTAGCTTGAAGCATGTAAGCACACCTCCCAAAGGTGAGCCGGGCGCGCTGAGCCATCCCCAAGCCCTTTTCCATGTTAATTCTCACAGTTCTGTTTTTAGTTCGGATTTTTCGGGATTGAGGAATGAGCATTTCGGCGACGAAGTGCAAGCCACCAACCACCCCACCCACGAACACACACTACCGCCACAGCTCCACCACAAGCCTCTCACTCGCTCACAGCACAAGCGCAGTCTCCGCAGCAGAGACGCAAGACAACGCAGAGCACAACTTCGCATCACCAACAGAGCCACACGCCGGCGCAACTACCGCAGCTGGCGTTCAGCACTCACACCTGCCACCTCCACCGAGCCGTTTCAGGGTAGGGGCTCCCTGGACCGGCCCCACTCAAAGCCTTTATACGACCTCACCGGCCGCGCTCTCTCACACCGGCGGCTACAGCAGCAGCAACAGCAGCAGCACAGCGACAAGCAGCAGCGCCGCACCCAAACAGCACCATCCGCTGCAGCGACCACCAGAACCCACAGATGCCACAGATTCCGAAGGTTCTTGCAGAACCTCTTCAAGCTCAAGCAAAAGACCCCACAGAACAACAGCACCCCCAACCATCTTCGTACAGATACCAGACCAGCTCCACAAAGCAGAAGGCAGTGGCAAGCCCGACACGACACCCGCCACCGACAACACACGAGAGCCCATTGGTTCAAAACCCACATTGTACAACCCAGCAAGAAGGGCAGATACAAACACGACATTCAAACCCCTCCACGGCACCACCTCCGCGGCGCTTTCTGGAACACCACAGGCCTGCTGGAAGCAGCCAAGCTACACACCTTGATACACATTATGCGTAAGCATCGCCTTAGCTGGCTGGCGCTCACAGAGACGCACATGAAGCAGCCTGATCAATTCATGATCGAAGGCTACACCATTACCCACAGCGCCACAGAAGAGTACGACAGCAAAGGCAAGCCCACACAGACCTTCACAGGAGTCTCCCTCATCACAGCCCCACACCTCACACCCACCATCACAGATCTCACCTGCGTCGACGGCAGATTTCTTCGGTTCACCATCGACACCGTCGAAGCTCCGCTCAGCATACTGGCGGTCTACGCCCCACACAACCAACGCGAACAGCAATGCCGGGACCAGTTCTGGCAAGCGCTCACCACGCAGCTCTCCACTCACAGAGAACGCACCCCCCTTCTAGTGGTTGGAGACTTCAACGCACTAGCCTTAGACGAGCTCGCAGCCATCCCTCACGCCACTGGCCCACATTTCGTCCCAGGCAAAACTGCCGAGGAAGACGAGCCAGACGATGCTGCAGAAGGCGACACCAACCAGCGACAGTTCCACGACCTCCTGGCCTCACAGGACTACTGCCTCCCACAGAGCTGGATGGAGAAAGCACCTCGCAATAGACACACCCACAAAAGACCCAACGGCGACCTCGTGCAACTCGACCACGCCATTATACACAAAGACTGGCGCAACATCATCCACGACATCCACACTCTTCCCGGCGCAGCGCTCAACAGCAACCACTACTTGGTCAAAGTCGAGCTGCAGCTCCGCACCAAAGAGGCCAAACGCACAGCCCCCAAACCACGCCACACCAGAACCCCCACTGCCGCACAGCGGCAAGCCTACAACAACCACATCAAGCAAAACTTGGATGCCATCACCCCTACCACAGACTACTCACAACCACCCCCACAGCTCCCACTCCAGTCACAACCACATGTGCAATGGCAGAGCCTCCAGGCGGCGACCAAGGAAGCCATTAGCGACCACATCCCAACCACCGCGTCCTTCCCCAAACACCCCTGGATCTCACAAGCTACTTGGCAGCTCATACAGCAACGTTCCGCCGCACGCCTCGCTCAGAGATTTGATCTTGAGGCCCAACTCCACAAAGACATTAGAAAGCAAGCCCGCAAAGATAAAACCCAGTGGCTAAAGGAGCGACTGGCCGAAAGCGAGGCCACTCTTGACCCTCGCCAAAAATGGAAGTGGATCAAGAGAGTTCGCTCAGACTACAAGCCCAGACCGGTCTCCATTAGAGACTCACAGGGCAAGCCCACCAGCCTCTCACAGCAAGCCCAAACCTTCGCAGAATACCTGCGAGACTCACACTGGGCAGCTCCACCTACACCTTACACTGGCCCCACAGACCCAATACACCCGGCAGCAGCAGTGGACCTCTCACCTATCACCACAGCAGAGCTCAACGCAGCACTTAAAGAGCTGGCGCACAACAAAGCAGCAGGCCCCGACAGCATTCCTGCTGAAGCATGGCAGTGGTTAGACGACCATAACCAAGAGGCTCTCTTGCGGGTCCTCAACCAAGCCCTGCTCACAGCCACCATCCCGGATGACTGGCACCATGCTATTGTAGTCGAAATCTACAAAGGCAAAGGTCCCCTCACAGACCCTGCCAGCTACCGCCCCATCTCACTTTTGAACACATCCTACAAACTTTTCGCCAAGATCATTCACACCAGACTCCAAGCAGCCCTGGACGACAGACTCAGGGAAACCCAATACGGGTTTAGGGCGACGCGCTCAACATCCCAGCCTATTCACATCGTCCGCCGTCTCATTGAACGTGCGGAGGCCACAGGACAAACACTTTACACCATCTTTCTCGACTGGGAGAAAGCATTCGACAAGATACACCCGGACGCCCTCCACACAGCGTTGTCACGCTACGGCGTCCCACCACATCTCACAGCCCTCATCAACAACATCTACACCTCACCACAATTCACAGTGGCGGCGGCTGGGAAGCAAAGCACCAGGGAGGAAGCCAGCGCGGGCATTCGTCAAGGATGCCCGCTCTCACCATACCTGTTTCTCATAGTTCACGGTATGGTTATGCACGATGTGGACCGGGAACTTACAGCTCACGGCGGGTCTCTTCCTTGGCTGTACAGCCAAAACCAGCCCTTCTACGACCTCGCTTATGCGGACGACACAGCACTCATCGCAAGCACAGCTCACAGAGCAGAACAGCTGCTCCACATCCTGCAGCGGATTGCGGCTCACAGCAACCTCCACCTGAACCTCAAGAAGTGCGTGTTACTACGCTCCCCCACTTCACAGAACACAGTCCACTTTCACAACGGCGCCCCCCTCACTATTGAGCAGCACGCCAAATACCTTGGCGTCACAATTAGCAGCGACGGGTCTTCTCACAAAGACGTTCTCACACGTGTCGCCAAAGCCCGCAAGCACTTTAACTCTCTGCACCAGTTCTGGCGCAACACCGACCTCACACTGAAGTGGAAGTTACGCATTTACAATGCGGTCTTCATTCCGCTCGTAACATACGGGTTGGAATCAGCAGCGCTCACAAAAGGCGATCTCAACAGACTCGAAGCTTTCCACTCACAGAGTCTTCGAAAGATCCTCCACTTCAAAAGCACTTACTACACGGAGGTGCTCAACCCCACAGCCCGCACATACACCAACCAAGAGGTGAGAACACTCACCTCACAGCCTCCACTCACTCACCACATCCACAAAGCACAGCTGAAACTTTTCGGGCACATTCTTCGATCCCATCCGAACAGTATAGAACGGAACTGCTGCTTCACTAGCGCTTTTCAGTACAGAGGTGGTATGGTTGGTGCTGGCCTAAGGCCAGGCAGGAGGAGAGTTCAATGGAGAACAGTGCACTACAATTCTTTGGCACTGGCTTTTAAAGTCCTCCAGACCCCCTGCCACTCGCAGCCCTACCTTCCCATACTCTTATCTACAAGCTCACAGAGCTGCTGTAGACCGCCACTTTTGGAGTACCCTAGTGAGGTTGCCAACGTGCAAGACACTCCTAGAAGCACACTCCTACACAGTCTTCTCACAGCCTTGAGTTTTCTGCGGAGTTGCTGCTGAGCGAGTTGCATAGGGCCGCCCAAAAAGGGGCGGCTTGGGGAGCTTAGGACCCTCAGGGGTTGAGGGGTTTAGGGGTTTAGGGGCTTCAGGCGTGGGGCCATCGGGGGGTCTCAAGGCTTGGGGCTTGAGGTTTGGGCTTTCAGGCTACGGGGTTCACGGCGTAGGGTTTAGTAGTTTGGCATTGGGGTAAAAGGGGTTTAGGAACCCACTTGCGGATCTCCAGAAAGCTTTGGGACCCTCTAATCCCTAAACCCTTTAGAGCTGCAATGTCTGCCGTGCTGAGATGAGAACTTCATGGATACAGCGCCTCGGGAGCCCCACTTGAGGTTTAGGGGTTTTGGGTCGAGGGTGGTGGGTTGCAAGAATCTCGGTTCCTTAATTTTGCGCGGGCGAGGGGGCACGTCTGTTGACAGGGTATCCCGCGACGGAGAGGGCTCTTCCATGTTCGCCCTCGTGAAGCATCAGGACCTAAACCTCAAACAGTGAGATGTGAGTGTGTGAAGGTGGACGGGCGCCTCGTGCATGTGGATTTCGGCCATGCTGTTAGCAGAGAGCCGCTGGATTCGGTGCCTTGGGCTTCTGATGTTTTATGTGGCTCATGGATGAATCTTATTGGTTCAGGCTCACGGCTTTCAAGGGTTTCAAGTTTATTGATCAACGCCTTTCTTTTGGGGTTTGGGGATTTACTACTTTTGTCAATTTTTACATTTATGAATATATATATATATATATATATCTCATATATACATATATATATATGTATGTATGTATGTCTGTATGTATGTGTGTGTGTCTGTATGATTGTATGTATGATTGTATGTATGTATGTATGTATGTATGTATGTATGTATGTATGTATGTATGTATGTATGTATGTATGTATGTATGTATGTATGTATGTGTGTGTGTGTGTGTGTGTATGTATGTATGTATGTATGTATGTATGTATGTATGTATGTATGTATGTATGTATGTATGTATGTATGTATGTATGTATGTATGTATGTATGTATGTATGTACGTCTTATTTGTGTTTTTGTTTTTCTATAGGGTTTACGGAACCCCTTAACCCGTGACGAGGTGCAGGGCGGCCGGCCGGCAACCACCATCCAGTGCGAGGAGCTAAATGAGGCGCCATGCCAAAGGCTTTGGGGCCCTTTGGGGTGTAGGGTGTCTATGACTGTATGGCTTCAAAGGTTGAGGGCGTGTCTGAAAGCCTTCAATTGGGTTTGGGTTTTATAGTGTTTTTTGGCCACGTGTGGCTTTTGAGTCGTCCCAAAATGCTAGGGCCGTACTTCAGCTACGTATTCTCGAGCAAATTCGCATAGAGCAGCCAAGCCTCCAGAGTCTCCAGCAGGCTTCAAAACTCTCAGACTCAATGTTTCTAAATGATCCGGTGTATACGCTATACCTCATACCCCAATCTGTCCTAAACCCGAGGCTCTAACATGCAAGCTCTCGGAATCTCAAATCCCAAATGCCAAAGCCCCTGAGCCCTTCGATCCCCGCCGCAAGTAACGCAGCTGAGGGGTTATGGATGTCTAAGACTTAGGGTTTAGGGCGTTATGGTGATTAGTGGCTTTCCACCATCGCCGAAACCTCCTGTGCGCTGCCCTGCGCGCCGTTGTCGTGTCCTCAAGGGGCGAAGGTAACCTTCAGGAAGCTTCGGGAGTCCTGGACGACAGGCAGACATCGAGGCGCAACTCCGTGAGCAGCTGCAACAGATGAGGCGCCAGCTTTGAGACGGCTTAAGTTCCTTGGGATCACGGTTCGAAGTGGTGGAGGTTACGCCCGAAATGCCAGACAAGGGCTGGAGGGTTGAGGGCTCTAAACCCTAAACCCTGAAGGCAATCCGGTTTCTGGTGTGGTGCGCGGAAGTTACTTGTGTTGGGGCATAGGTCTTAGTCACAAGGATCCAGGAGGGTGTGAGAGCCCGTATGCTGCCTAGGGTTGGACGGTTGAGGGTTTGGGGTTTTAGGGTTCAGGGATTATAGGATTATAGGGCTTGAACCCTAAGCGAGTCACAAACTTGCTTGGTTAGCCAATAGTTGGCTTGAGGGCTTGGTGCTCAGCTAGCAGCTAGCAGGCAGAGTGCAGAGTAACCGATTCAGCAACCTATTTTCTTTCCTGGCGGCTGGAGCCCTAAACCCGAAACCGCAAGCAACAAACTCGAAGCTCTCTGAAACCTCAAAAACCTTCAAAGACCCTTCAAACCCTAACCCTAAACCCCAAAGTTCGAACTCTTGCAGAATCATGGGTTCTAGAGCCCAAGCCACCAGGGAGCAGAATGCCACCGTTGAGATGGAGAAGGCTGAAGTCGAGGCAGGAGCGTAGGGTTTCTTTAGAGTTTTTATAGTGTTGTGTTTTATAGGCTTTACGCCCCAAACCCTAGAGCCTGAACCCTAAACCCGAAGCTCTGTGTGTGTGTGTGTGTGTGTGTCTTTGTTTTCGTCCTCTTTGGAGGCGCGTGTGCTGCTGTTGGAGGAGCAGGCATGCGGCTTGTGGTGAGTTCGGGCTTTGGAGGAGGGTTCAAGGGTTGAGGGTTTGTGGCTCAAGGCTTGGGGGAGAGTTAGGATTTCAACAGGATTGAGGTTGCAGAGTTTAGGCTCTAGGGTCGTAGATCCTGGGAAGTTCTTCGGCTTTCTGGGTTTCAGGCCCGAAAAGCCGGGCAGGGTTTAAGGGTGTCGGGTTTAAGACTGTTCTATAAGTTTGGGTTTTAGGGTTTAAGGCACTAGACCCTCAACCCTGAAGCCTCAACAGGTGAGGAAGCTGTCTTCTCTGCTGTCGGACACGGCGCGTCAGCTAAAAGAGGCCAAAGACTTGCCCAAGGACGCCGGAAATTGAGTCATTGAGGGTGTTTGGGTGCGGAGAAGTCGAGAACCTGAAGTTAGAAGAGTTTGGGGATAGGGTTTAGGGCTGCTTCTGTTAAATCTCAGCTACTCTACAGATACATGAGGTGTGGGGTTCACAACTTATCTGGGTTGCTGCTACAGGAACTGGGACTTTTGTATGCTGGTCCCAGCGATGATCGGTGCAATAGGCCCTAAACCTCAGCGTATATTAAGGAGCGTGAGGAAACCCCAATATTGATATTAGATATTAGTCTTTCTGGGTCATGAAGTTGTCTACAGAATTATTGATTTGCAAAATCCCAGAATTCAAGAAGGACAATGCAATAATAAGTAATCTGTGAAGAAATACCAAAATACTCTCATTATCGCATTCCAGCACGCGAATCATTAGATGACAGCGAACGGAGCGCAGGAAAAGACAAGATTTCGCGAGCCAGTAAGAAAATGAATGAAAGTCTGAGCGGAAAATGAGGCATGTCTTCGTGTGTCATTTTTATTCTATTCATAGTGGTGCTCGCAAGTGATGCAATAGAGAATGAATGGGTGAACAAGACCAACTAGAAAGGCAAAGAACATATTTCCAAAGGGAAATATAATTCAGGCTTCATTTCCAGTATAATTTCCTTCACTTAAAAGCCTTACTTATAAAGATGAAAGGAATGAACGAACTCATTGTAATTCCTACTTTCAGTTAATTCGTTTACAAATGAACCTGACGTGCACACTTTGTTCTCTCGTTCAAAAACTCTAATCTCTAAACCCTTAGCCGCTCAGGGTGCGGGGGGTTCCGAGGTAGCGGCCGAGATTTTGATGCTTTGGGTGTAGGGACCTAAACCCAAAACCCAGAAACTCGACATCCCGAGACGACAGGGTTTTGGGTTTCGTGTTCAGGGTGTTTGGTTTAGGGGTTGGGGTTTGCAACGGGGTCATTGGGTTTAGAGACCAGAACCCTTAGGCCTAAACCCTTAACCCCAACAGTAGCCGAATAGCCCTTAGATCACATTGCGGATCCCTGAATAACTGAATGCTGTTTGAGTCCTGTACCCCTGCCTAGCGCAGCGGGAAGGAGGCGGAGCCAAAGTACAAGCCCGGAGCTTGGCAAAGCGGTCTGCAGGTTTGTTTGCGTGTATCAAGGTTGATAAGGTTGAGGGTTTAGGGTTTTCGGGTTTAGGGTAAGGGTGCCCTCGTGGGAGTTAATTTTTGTTGGGGTCCTCTTGGGGATCATCTCGAACCTGGAGCTCCGAATTCCAAATCAAGATTTTAGGGTTTTTGGTTTAGGGTTTTGCCTCGTGTTCTTCTGGTTAGCATTATTGGTACTGCCATGATGACGATGACCATGAGGATCATGATGATGTTTGTGATGATTGTGATGACTGGTGGTGATACAGATGTTGATGATGCTGATGATGATGGTGATTGTGAAGGTTGTGTTGATGATGGTGATGATGATGACGACATGATTGAGATGATGGCGGTGGTGATGATGATGACGTGATGTGATGTTTGGCCTTTCATTATGGTCTTGAGGATCATAATCGTCGTCAGTATTGTGGGCATTACTGTGTATTGGCCAGTATTGTATTAGTATTCCTCATTGTACTAGTGTTACGTAGTCTTATATGAGTATGAGTGTTCGTGTTTGTGTTCGTGTTATTTCTATTCTTAGTGCTCGGGTTAGTGGCAGTGAGTACTTTAAGTGTTGGCTTTTAGCATTAGTGATTACTGTTAGTGTTTGTCTTACTCTTCGGAAGTGTATCAGCACGAGCCACCATCTTAGCATTCGTGTCAGTCTTAATTTCAGAAGCACAAGCTTGCAAACACAACAGCAACGCTGGCAATGATAGTCAGAATTCTCATACTAATAGTAGGAGTAACAATGAAATCTCCTTAGAAGCAACAACAGCAGCAGCAACAAGAAGAACAAGAACAAGTACGATCGTCGTCATCATTATTATCATCATCACCATCATCATCATCATCATCATCATTATCAATTTCATACAAATGATGAGAATGAGGATGACCTCAATCAGGCTGGACGCCGGCCCACCTGGAACGCTCACCGATGAGGTCATCTGCCTTCAGGCTGACCCGGTTTGGGCGACGCGGGGTTGGGCGGAGACCCCAAACTCGGGCCAGGGCGAGGAGTACAGGAAACTCGGGCACAGAGATACCCACGTGACTGCTGCAAAGACTGAGGGTTTCGGGTCGGGCGCCTAAATACATGGGGCCTTCAGATCGACTGGGTTTATCCGATTGAGCACTGGGATATTAGTTGTTGGCGTGGTCGCAAGCACAGGGATCCTGAGGCTGGCTTCGATTTGTCAGGGGTTCCTTTTGGGTTAGGACGTTACGTGACAGCCCTCGCCTCTTCATGTTCAAGGTTCAGCCCGAAGCCCTCTTGGAAGCCCAGCGACGACCCTTCCTGTAAGCGGCCCAGCAAGAAAGCCCTGCGACATCCGCAAACCCCTCTGTTCCCTTTACAGGCTTAGTTAGCCCTTTCTTCGTGCCAAGCTTTCTCCACAACACCTTGATGCGTCCCGAAGGCGCCACAGCTGGTGCCGCGGCTGTGGCAAGCCTGGGCCCTGGTGTTTCTGGTACTTCTCCGACTCATCTCGGCCTGTTCGGGTTTAGAGGTGGTGGCCCACATGTCTTGTCGTGGAGCTTGACGACATCTCAAAGTTTCGGGAAGCCTAAATGTAGCATGGGTGCAGACGTATGCTGTGAGCCCACGTCATGCATCAACTTGGTGTCTACCTCCAGGAATGATGAGAGGCTGTGCTGATGTAGGATTCCTGGGCTGTAGACTCTTGAGGCTGCCCGCCAGAACCACCAGGATGAGGCCGAGAGCTTGGCCTAAGAAGTTGTAAGTACGGCATTTTGCAGTTATAGAGCTGTGTCTCTTTCCGTGTGTGTGTGTGTGTGCGTGCCAACCGCGCTGCTGCGGTCATGCCAGGGTGTGTTTGTGACAGCTTGAGCGGAAAGATGGAGGTTACCCTAATTAGAGGCTTCGGGGCAGCGTTGCTGCTTGCAGCATGGAGTATGTTGGGGCTCGGCTCTCCAGGCTTTAGGTGGAAGGTTTTGAGGTCATTATGGGCCCCAGGATGCTGCAATCGAGCTCGACGCCGCGCCATCGGGAACGGTGGCGGCTGAGCCTGCCCAGGCTTGGGCGGCTTGGGCAACAGCTTTCTAACCCACGTTCGTCTCGAGGTCCCGCGGGTGCGGGCTCAAATTTGACGGGTCTGTTTCCCCCTTGCAAAATCTTAAGGGCTTTAAGGAGTTCCGAGATTTTGCAGGTGCCTTTGATTTCTTCAAAATCCTGAGACCAATTTAAGTTCGGGAGAGTTTCGCTATGCCATGAACCTCCCGTAATTCTTATTGCTTCAGCGTTTTCGGCTGTGCTATTTTCGGCATTGGAGGTGTAGGATGTTTCATTCGGAGCCCCTCTTCGAAGTTTTCAGAGTGTTGTTTTCTCAAGCAGGTGCAGCAAGACCAGGTGATGAAAGAGCTGCAGTGTGCGCTCGAGGCAGGATAGGTGGTGGCAATGCGTAGTGTGCATAGTGTGTGTGTGTGTGCACGCGGCACTGTTCGCCACATGACGTTTAATGTCTCTCTGTCTCTCTCTCTCTCTCTCTCTCTCTCTCTCTGTCTCTCTTTTTTGTACACAATGCAGGGGGTGCTAACTGACCGTTACCGGCTCCAACGAAGTGTGCTGTCAGGAGGGAAGTGTTTCGGGACACTGGGGTGTGTTAACGGCAGCTTGGGGGCACACTGGCTATTCTTTGTGTCCAGACAATTTTCAACCGAGGACAGGGCCCAATCCTCATGATATCACGCAGGGGTTCAGATTGCAGATGCCAGATACCGGACCTCAAGCAGATGCAGCCAGATGCAGATAGCAACATCGGCGAAGTTGGCCCTCGTGGCGTCTCAGTATGTTGCGTGGGTTGCGTCAGGCGCATTCCCTCAATTTTTTGTGTCTTGAGCCCTTTATGGGGTTTCCCCTGAAGAGGACAAAGTGCCCATGCCGCTATGTTCACGTTTGTTTTGTGGCATGCGGGCGGTTTCATGGCGGGGATTCATTCTCTCCTTTCGTGTCCGTGGTGGTTCGTTTCGGTTCTCGAGTTTCGTTTTCAGCAGCTGTCTCTGTTGGTGTCTTGTGTTTGTGCGGGTGTGGGCGTGGGTGGGTCTGCGTCCGTCTGGGCGTGCGTGTGCATGTGCGTGTGTGCGTCCTTGTTGTCTTCGACCCAGTGCCCGACGCTGCGTTTTCAACCTTCTGCTCAGCCTGGTGTACTTTTCTCTTTATCTTCTCTGGCACGCAACAACCCATCCGCACTTGTCAGCCACTTTTCTCCACCTAGAGAGACTTTAAATGCATTAAGTTGTGCACGTCACATATGCTGTCATAAGAAAAGTTCGTGTACATGAATGTGTACATGAGTATACGGATAAGGGCCTTGAGTGTTGCAACAGTAACGCCACCCAAAGATCCCACAGAGCACGCGAGGCAAAGGAGAACTCCATCCAGCAGCTTCAGGCGTTTGGAGGGTCCTTTGTGCAGGTTTCGGGTTTGGAGTTTGGGATACACAAGCCCTCGTGCCGCTTCACCCAGTGTTCAAGTGGAGATCTGAGGGGTGCTCCGAAAACTTAGTCGAGATCCCTGAAACCACCCAAGACCTGACAAGTCCCTGAGCCCTGAACCCCAAACCCTGAGGCCTCCGCTGCAAGCGGAACCGCTAAGACCAAGACCTGCATAGTTCTTTTTTCCCGAAACCTAAGCGCCAGAAATGATTTGGGTTCGCCTTGTCACCCCGAGAAGCGTGCGATAAGCATGTGCATTGGCACTTCCCAAGGCTTGCCGTGGCCTTTACCGCTTGCGGCTTTGGGTTTGTAGGGGGGCTATAGGGCTGCTAGGGCCTTGTCTGGGGACCTCAAACTGAATTCCCTGGGAGAACAACAGTTCTGGGAGAACTAAAGCCATTCTTTTCAATCTGTTGTAGACCACTGCTTTCGATGTCGAATTTTTTGTGCGGACCCGAACCCGGACAACTCAGTAGATGTGCCATGCAGAGGCCCCGTGTAGTGCTGCATGCTTCCATCAGGCGGAGGTGGCGACGCTCAGTGGAAGAGTACGAACACTCCAAAAGGCGCCGCGTGCGTGGTGAGCTACTAGGTTTACTACTGGTGCCGCAATGTGCGGCAGCTTCCAGTCGCTCTACGCAGGCATGCAAGATGCGCCTGGACGAGATGTTTGAAGTCATCATGGAGGCCGGTCAACTCCGCTCGGGGCAGGGCTTAAATTTAGGAGTGTCCTGGCGGGTGTTTTCGAGGCGTTCAGGAAGTGGCCAACTTGGTAGCTTTCGCAGGATGGGAAACCTAAGTTTGTCTTGAGTTTTTGTTATGTTTTCGTGGGGTTTTCTTGGGGTTTTCTTGGGTTTAGGTTGGTTTTGGCTGGGCATATCGTGGCTCAGCCCCCAATACGCAGCGTTACTCCCTGAGAGTTGAGCCCAACCCTCAACCCTGCACCCAAAACGGGCTGTCATCACGGTGGGGAATCGAGTCGAAAACCATATATACAATGACAAAGTCGGGCACTGCACAGACGTTGTTTCGAACACAGATTCCCGAAAGTCTGCCAATGGCATGAGCACACCCCAACCACCCTATCGGTTCTGAACCTTCTCCGTTGTAGGAGATCTTCTGCTCTTCCGGTGAGAAGGTAGTGCGACGTTTTGCTCGACGGTCTTGGCTATTGACAGGACCCGGCCATACCGACCAAGTCGCCCGTCCTGCCCTTATGATTGCTTGAGTGGACTGCCCTGGCTCCAGTCGCCTGAAGATGTCGCTTGTGGGCCACAGCCAGAAGCAGAAATCATGTGTCTCTGCCTTCGCTTCCTAAGGATATGGATGCCGGGCACGCATCCCCATCATTGCCCAGAGGGCTGTTGGCCTGGCAGCAGCGGCAAAGAGCCACTCGAGTTGCCCGACGCAAGAAGCGGGTGTTCGCTTTATTTTAGAGCATGGATCATGAAGGCCAGCTGTATCCACACTTGTTGTGTATTGGTGTCTCCGGCTTGGGGCCTTCTAAGGAGATAACATTGGTAAATTCTTGGCAACTTTGGTATATTTTTCGGCTCTTTGCATCTACCCTAGACGCCCTAAAAACCCTGAAAGCGAACCTAAACACATCTAAACACCCAAAAGCACTCCAAAAGCCTCAATGCCCGAAAACCAGAACAAAAGCACCATCACGATTACCTACTTCGAGTTTTTTAATTTTAAATTCTTAGTAAATTGTCTGCGGGATGTTTTTGGTTGGGGGTGTGGGGGTGGGCATCAGCGGATCGGCCCAGGAGACCGGACGAGGAGTAATTACACGAGGGCCGGGCGAGGAGAAGAGCTGACTTAATATCTAGCAACCCCACACCGAGGATGGGGAAAGGACCCTGAAACGCCCCAAAGAACCCTAAAACTTTTTGTTGCTTGAGGCTGCTTTGTCGGCTTCGGCGTCCGTGGGCTTCTCGCTTGACTGAGACTCCGGCGTGCCGGGACTGCTGCAGGTGTTGAGGAGAGGAAAGACCCAAAGCCCACTCTGAGCCTTCAGCTCCACGCCACCCCTGCCATGGCCAAACTATTGGCGCCTGAAAATGGGTAAGTTTTTTTGTATTTTCATGAACCAGCGTCATTAGCAATTTGCCATCGCCGTCATTCACACACGAGTATGGCCAATAGTGTCGACTCCAATATTGGAGGGGCTTTTCGCACGTTGTTCATTCCGATGGAGCTGCAAAAGACTTGATTTGGTGGTGCCCGTCGATCAGCATTGGTGATGCGAAACCCTTCAACAACAAGAGGTTCTCACTCGGAATCAGACAAGTTTTTGGCGGTAGACACTGGGTCATCGGTGCTTACAAGGACCCTTAGTTTGGAAGCCTCTGTGTACCGTTGATACGCCCCGAAAATACCCTATGCGACCCAAGGCCCCATAGATCAGAACCCTTCAAGGAAAGCAAAGGACCGTATGAAGGGACGATGGAACCACCGGAACCACCCTTAGATTGGTAATTTTCTGGGACCTAATGCACATGCACTTGCCATGAGCGACGTCGGCGCTGATGTTAAGAAGCGGTCCCAATCACGAGATGCCGTCCAGGACCGTTCCTGTTTTCAATGGATAATGTGCACAACTTAGATGAGCTAGCAGCATGTTTTGGTCTTGTGCGGTGAATGTCAGGACGGCCTCAGCTGGAAAGATATCGCATGGTTAATGTTGCTGATTCGCACATTCGTTCGTGCATTCTGTGGACGTGCACGGGCAATACTCTCACTTTTTAGGTGGCCGAATGTGCATGTTGCCAGGTTATCTGATATCGTGGGCATGCCTTGCTAGGTTTGCTTTTTCTAGTTCTTAACAGGGAAGTGGGGTGTTAGCTGGGGCCATTCGCCAAGCCCCAAGTCCTCCGAGCCCTTAACACAAGATCTTTTCATTGCCCGCTGCCATATCACAGCTCTGAAGCTCAGACTTGAGCCTTGACACGTCTACATGCACGGCACGTGCCAAAACGCACACACACACACACACTCCTACCCTCCACACGCATGAAGATGGGTTTATATTATGGTTTGCGTGCGTACACGGTCCCTGGTTCCTGGAAATATTGGTGAGTGTATATATGGGCTGTCCTGTTGGCCTAATTTAAGCCCCGAAATCGAACCCCTAAACCTTAAACCGTAAATCTCCAAACCCGAAACCCTGACCCTAAACCCAAAACCTCAGCGCCATGTGGTGGAGCTGGGGTTTGGAAGGCCTGGGGGGGCTGACATGGGCTGACGATTCAGGGTTCCGCATTGAATCATCCATGCAAATGTCCTAATGATTGGCAGAGGCGGATCAGGTTATGCAAGGATTCGGATGATGGGAGGATTGCAGCGCTCGGACTACCAGCCCGTAAGAGACTGCCCCACTCAGGAAACTGCGAGATTCAGGAAAGTGGGCGATTCTTGTTTCCTTTCGCTGTCCCTCGGGGGGGGTGATGACATTCTCCAAGCCCAATTCAAGCAGCTTCTTTCAGTTTACCGGAGCCACGTTTTCAAGTTTGCCGAATCGCATTCTCCCAAGTTTCGGAATCCGCGCATTCTCAGTTTCCGAATCCGCGGTTGACCATTGCGGGTTGCAGGGGTTATGTTCGGATGTGTGTTTGTATGCGTGCTAAAGTTTCCAGGAAAGATGGTCCGAAGAATCGCGACATTCGTCGATCACTCCTCCCCCAGTCCCCTCGCCCTTCACCCTTTTCAAACTTGAGTTTAAGGAACCTCTCCCTTCTCAAGCTCCTTTCGTGGACTCACAACCTGTTGCTTCCATCCGACCCGAAAGTGCAGCAAGATACATGCCGTTGTCACAAGAAAATTCTGAACGATCCGTAAAGATCCCAAAAGTGAGTTCCAGACGCGGTCCTGTGGAGTCATGCTTAGCGGTTTAGCGCAGAAGACCGTGCACCACGGAGTCATCTCCTCTTCCAGCCCGACCTTGCGACTGGTCCTCGATGCCAGATCGCTGTTGCAGTGTGGTTGCGCACATCATTAGACACTCAAGCAGTGTGAGTGCCCATGCCTACGATTGTTTGCATCTTCACACACCGACTCTGCAATTACAAGACTACAAACGCCAACACCATTCCACAATGGTGCGAGTCTTGCGGACGCTTGTGAACGCTTCGTGGACGCTGGCGAACACTTCCTGAACACGCGCGCAGCGATGTTGGTCACATCCTGCACATTCGAAAACAGTCGGGAAGCTTCTTCCGAACCCGCGGCCTCACTTCTGAATGAAGTCGTAAGTATGCAGGAGCACGAAGACAGGACTGATAACCGATTCTGGCATTTTTTTTGCGATAGTTAGCCTCACCCTAAGGGAACCAACGTCTCCTTCTCCTTCTCTCTCTCTCTCTCTTTGTGAGACTCTCTCTCTCTCTCTCTCTCTCTTTCTCTCTCTCTGTGTCTCTGTCTCTGCCTCTGCCTCTGGCTCTGTCTCTGCCTCTGTCTCTTTCTCTGTCTCTGTCTGTGTCTGTGCCTCTGTCTCTGTCTCTGTCCCTCTGCCTCTGTCTCTGTGTGTAAATATCGGTGATTTTTGGCCATGCTGCCCAGTGACCTGTGACCACTGTAATCCCTTCTCCTGAACAGACCCCGGCGGGGAGCTCCAGGCCGGCCAAGCCCGGGAAAGGGTTCGAGCTTCAGGTTTTGTAGGGGCTTCAGGGATCTTGTGGCTTTAGGGTTAAGGGGTTTAGGGGCGGCTTGGGGAGCTTAGGACCCTCAGGGGTTGAGGGGTTTAGGGGTTTAGGGGCTTCAGGCGTGGGGCCATCGGGGGGTCTCAAGGCTTGGGGCTTGAGGTTTGGGCTTTCAGGCTACGGGGTTCACGGCGTAGGGTTTAGTAGTTTGGCATTGGGGTAAAAGGGGTTTAGGAACCCACTTGCGGATCTCCAGAAAGCTTTGGGACCCTCTAATCCCTAAACCCTTTAGAGCTGCAATGTCTGCCGTGCTGAGATGAGAACTTCATGGATACAGCGCCTCGGGAGCCCCACTTGAGGTTTAGGGGTTTTGGGTCGAGGGTGGTGGGTTGCAAGAATCTCGGTTCCTTAATTTTGCGCGGGCGAGGGGGCACGTCTGTTGACAGGGTATCCCGCGACGGAGAGGGCTCTTCCATGTTCGCCCTCGTGAAGCATCAGGACCTAAACCTCAAACAGTGAGATGTGAGTGTGTGAAGGTGGACGGGCGCCTCGTGCATGTGGATTTCGGCCATGCTGTTAGCAGAGAGCCGCTGGATTCGGTGCCTTGGGCTTCTGATGTTTTATGTGGCTCATGGATGAATCTTATTGGTTCAGGCTCACGGCTTTCAAGGGTTTCAAGTTTATTGATCAACGCCTTTCTTTTGGGGTTTGGGGATTTACTACTTTTGTCAATTTTTACATTTATGAATATATATATATATATCTCATATATACATATATATATATATATATGTATGTATGTATGTCTGTATGTATGTGTGTGTGTCTGTATGATTGTATGTATGATTGTATGTATGTATGTATGTATGTATGCATGTATGTATGTATGTATGTATGTATGTATGTATGTATGTATGTATGTATGTATGTATGTATGTGTGTGTGTATGTATGTATGTATGTATGTATGTATGTATGTATGTATGTATGTATGTATGTATGTATGTATGTATGTATGTATGTATGTATGTATGTATGTATGTATGTATGTACGTCTTATTTGTGTTTTTGTTTTTCTATAGGGTTTACGGAACCCCTTAACCCGTGACGAGGTGCAGGGCGGCCGGCCGGCAACCACCATCCAGTGCGAGGAGCTAAATGAGGCGCCATGCCAAAGGCTTTGGGGCCCTTTGGGGTGTAGGGTGTCTATGACTGTATGGCTTCAAAGGTTGAGGGCGTGTCTGAAAGCCTTCAATTGGGTTTGGGTTTTATAGTGTTTTTTGGCCACGTGTGGCTTTTGAGTCGTCCCAAAATGCTAGGGCCGTACTTCAGCTACGTATTCTCGAGCAAATTCGCATAGAGCAGCCAAGCCTCCAGAGTCTCCAGCAGGCTTCAAAACTCTCAGACTCAATGTTTCTAAATGATCCGGTGTATACGCTATACCTCATACCCCAATCTGTCCTAAACCCGAGGCTCTAACATGCAAGCTCTCGGAATCTCAAATCCCAAATCCCAAAGCCCCTGAGCCCTTCGATCCCCGCCGCAAGTAACGCAGCTGAGGGGTTATGGATGTCTAAGACTTAGGGTTTAGGGCGTTATGGTGATTAGTGGCTTTCCACCATCGCCGAAACCTCCTGTGCGCTGCCCTGCGCGCCGTTGTCGTGTCCTCAAGGGGCGAAGGTAACCTTCAGGAAGCTTCGGGAGTCCTGGACGACAGGCAGACATCGAGGCGCAACTCCGTGAGCAGCTGCAACAGATGAGGCGCCAGCTTTGAGACGGCTTAAGTTCCTTGGGATCACGGTTCGAAGTGGTGGAGGTTACGCCCGAAATGCCAGACAAGGGCTGGAGGGTTGAGGGCTCTAAACCCTAAACCCTGAAGGCAATCCGGTTTCTGGTGTGGTGCGCGGAAGTTACTTGTGTTGGGGCATAGGTCTTAGTCACAAGGATCCAGGAGGGTGTGAGAGCCCGTATGCTGCCTAGGGTTGGACGGTTGAGGGTTTGGGGTTTTAGGGTTCAGGGATTATAGGATTATAGGGCTTGAACCCTAAGCGAGTCACAAACTTGCTTGGTTAGCCAATAGTTGGCTTGAGGGCTTGGTGCTCAGCTAGCAGCTAGCAGGCAGAGTGCAGAGTAACCGATTCAGCAACCTATTTTCTTTCCTGGCGGCTGGAGCCCTAAACCCGAAACCGCAAGCAACAAACTCGAAGCTCTCTGAAACCTCAAAAACCTTCAAAGACCCTTCAAACCCTAACCCTAAACCCCAAAGTTCGAACTCTTGCAGAATCATGGGTTCTAGAGCCCAAGCCACCA